TTTAGTTAATGAGTTATTGATACTTCAAGTGCAAAATGATGATATAAAACCATGATAAAAATGCACTTTTAAGTACTAATCAAAGTATCAAACATGCCTTTAAGGTTTGGATTGGGTTTGGCTTAGCGATATGGGCTAGACCTAAGAGTATATGCCCAAGCCCACGTGTACAGGTTAGGCTCAGACACAAGCTAACTTGATTTTTTATGTTGACGAATGGCCCAATGGTTTTTTTATAAGTGGGCTGGACTTAAACTAGTTATACACGTTTTTTTTTATAAGTGGCATTTGCAGAATGTGAAATAATTCACATTCTGCATGCCTATTCCAGTAGAGAATTATAAAAAAGAAAAAAAGGGAGAAAAGTTAACTTGGCTAGATAAAAATATTGTTAGTTGGTGATGTTACCTTGATAATGTGGTGGTTATGCTTATGGCACATAGTGGAGTTGTTGGTGAAGGTTTAGACATGGAGGAGTTTGTGGTTGCTCATGATGGTTACAGGGATGAATAAGAAATAAAGGAAGAAAAGTAAAATAATTAGAAATTTTGATTGAAGAATGATGTTTTGACTAGGTTTCTAGGCTGTAACAAAGGGATTTTCAATAGTGTTGGGTAAATGGAGGATTTGGCTTTAGTTTTTTGTTAGTTTAGTGTAGAAGGGTGAATGTTTTAAATTGAGTGGTAGGGCTAGTGGTTGTTTTTAGTTGGTGCAAGGATCTTTTTTATTATTATTTTTTCCTTTTCTTTCTTTTAGTCTTCCATCATAGCTGTCATGGGGTTGGTATTTATAATGGGTAAAGAAGGAAGCAACTGTTGTGGATGCAATAATAGAAGCTCTTGGTGGAAGCTATTGAAAGGAAAGAAAAAATAGTGGAAGTTGATTGTGAAATGTTAAAAAGAAAAGAGATGACAATATGTTTTAGGGTGTTTGGAAGGAAGAAATGAGAGGTTTATAGGTTGTGAGGCTTATGGTGTAAGGCCATTGATCTTTCTACCTTCAATCTCCACCCTTCGCATGTCCAAACAAAGTAGTAAAAGATGGCTTGATAGTGCTTTTTGGGGTTACTTTGTAGCAGGTTCAGGGTTATCGAGAGATAAATTTTCTACATAGATTCGAGTATAGTGGCACGCTATAACAAAGGTGTGTTTAATGTCACGTACGGGGCATGTAGAGGAGAGAAAGGTTCTTAAAAAATGGTTTAAACACAGGAGAAAAATTATCCCTCATGTCTGTAACACTAACACAGAGGAAGAAGATGGTGTACAACGCATTACAATGTGGCTTTTTTTTTTAATTAACAAAACAACGCCATTTTATACAAAACTCGTCTTTTTATTTATATGAAACAATGTTGTTTTGGTACTTTAGGTTTAAAACTTCTATTTCAATTTGAGATTTTAATCTTTCAATTTGTTCAATTATGTTCATAATTAAATTTTAATTTTAAAAATAATTCAATTTCACCTCTGCAAAGTTTCAAAAACACCTTTTGATTTAAATGTGTTTTTCAACTTAGTCCTTGGTCTTGGATAATTTAAATTTTATAATCAATTGACCTTTTAACTTCTAAATTTCTTCAATTTCATCCCCTTTTCAACCAAATTGGGTTACCTAATTTACTTGTCTTTTACAAAGAGATCCTCGATCTTGAATTTCTTCAATTTAATCTTTAATTGACCTCCTAACTTTAATTTACTTGTAATTTTATCTATGATTTCATCCAATTTAATTGGGAAAAAGTAAATTTGATTCTGTAAAATTTTAATCTTCTCAATTAAGTTTAAATTAGGCTTCCAAACTTAATTTTTTTCAATTAAATTTCTAATAAAATTAATTTTACTCATTAAATGTCTAATGAAGTCCCTGCACTTAATTGATTATTTTATCTTGACTCAAATCAATTCTTAAACTTAATTAAACTTCTAATTGGGCTCATGATTAGAATAAATTAGCCTGCTAAAAGTATAATTAAGTTCTAAAACTTAATTTTTATGCAAATTTATCCTATAATTATTTAATTTAACCTTAAATCTACATTGTCTTTCAATTATAGGTTCTTTAGGGTATAATTAGTTTCTTAATTTTATCCAAAATTTCAATTTGGTTTCTTCACATGTTTAAAACCCTTCCTAACATGATTCAGCCAAGTTGCCAATCTTTTTTCATTTTTCTTTTTTTATTTTTTATTTTTTTATTGCTTTTTGTTTTTGTTTTTAAAAGAAAAGGAAAATTTTAGAGTACACCTAATTAGATTACAACAAAAGGTTTGATTCCCCTTTCTTTCTATCCATTAACTCTATTACAAGCTTCTCCATTTCATCTCTATTTGCATCACTCTCAGTTTCCATGCCACTACCCCATAATGCAAGCAAACTTACAGTTTGTTGCTCGGAGAAAAATGGCCAGCATAGCATTGGCACTCCATTGGACATGCATTCAAGTGTGGAATTCCACCCCATGTGGTTTAAAAACCCTCCCATTGATGATGCTTCAGGACTTTCTTCTGCGGACAGCAGCTTGCCATCATGTCTCTTTCTTCTTCGAGGAATTCACGAGGCAAAATCACACAATCGCCCCTGACAAGATCAGGTTGATTATCCACAATCTCCATGCAAACTCCACAAGTTACTGTGGTGCCATGACAGTGATGCTGCCAAAATTCTCGTAAACAACAAAATCAGATTCCTTAGTATCAAGCCATTGCAGGCATTCAGTCTCTTCTTTCCATAGACTGGATCTAATTAATGATAGATAATCATTCTGACTTTGATCATGAAGCAAATTAAGAGGGCCGATACAGTAAATTGGAGGAAACCTAGATGAGAGACCAAGCAAAGCATCATGCCCCAACTCGTCAGATGTATTCACCAAAACAGTTGAAGCTTTTCAAGCTCTATCAATTATTCTTATCACAAAGTTTAGCATAGTGTCATTTCGATATGTCGTGCGAATGAAGGTCGGAAGTTACCTCAGACGGAGTATCTTTCATTCTGTCTCCAAGTATCTGTTTTCAACACTGCCTCCCATAATTTTCATGTGTCTCCTCATGCAGGTCAAGACCTTTTAACCCTTGGAAAACCTGCCGAGGAATGGACTGTGAATTCGCCAAAAGATTTGTTCCATAAGAAGGTTCCATAGGATGGTACTGAAATTTACGTAATCCAGATGGCTTTCGACCCTAAGGACTGGATGACTTTCATTTTCCTCTGGGCAAAGAACAAGAATCTTTTGCACCCAACCATGCACTTTCCCTCGTGCCAAAAGTGGAAGCATGGTGGGATATACCGGGGAAGAAGCTATCAGTTGTGTTATCTTTTGTATTTCAGTGTTGCGCTTCCTGAGTTTTAACTGCTCTGTTCGCCAAATTACTATTTCCCGATGACTCAGAACTTTGATTATTCTTAACCATACGAGGTTGGCATATTTCCAGATATCAACATTGTTACTTTTAGGAAGCTATTGGCTGCTTTCTGTATCAGCCCACCAAGTGCTTAAATCTGGCAATGCAGCACATTATTCCAGCTAGTATCTTCTTGGTTGACCATGCAGCGGTAAACTCAATCAATCATCCATCATCACTTATACTCTTACATCATTACTATCATCACTTATAGTCATTTATTATCAACTGCCATTACTAATTGCCACCTAATATTAACCACCATATGCAACTATTTACTATTCACTACCACCACTTGTTGTTTTTCAATTTATATATAAATAGGCTATTAAGTTTATATTATTAAGTATGAGAAAGAATAGAGAAAAACACAAGAGAGAAAGAGAAGGTGTATATTAAGATTATGAGTTTTGTATTTTTATAAGCTTTTGTTTTTGTAATAAAGTCATGTGTTTTATCCCCTCTAAGTGTTCTAAAGCCACCACCAGTGGTTTCTGCCACCAACAATTGGTATCAAAGTCTCATTTGTCAGAAAACAGAGGTGTTCTTAGGATATATTTGATTTTTCAAAGTTGTCAAAAACTATTTTTAATCATTACAAACTTGGTTGTAGTATTCATCCATACAAACTCATTGGTGCAAAAAACAGCTTCATTGGAGACCGTGGTATCCCATACGCATTGCCTGAAACTTTGATCACTATAGCCCACGCGCCCCGAGGTAGACGACGACTGAGCCGCACGTACGCCATATTTGAGTCGAGCCGAGTCATGCAAACCGCCATTAAGCAGAGTCGTATAAGCCACCAAACTGAGAATCAGTCGAGACGTATAGATATTCCCTAGAATATTTCTGGTTCAGCCCCAACGAACCGCCTGACGTTTAGAATCAGTTTCTTGACTAGTTCAGCCCATTTTTGCCCATTTTCAACCAAGTTAGATCGGTTCCCTATTGTTTTAAGCATTCAGGATCTATCTACAGTCTCTTTTTCTCCAAATTCAATTCCCGAAAGATGATATAGTCATTCAAAGAGCAAAATACATAAACACTCATCCCAAAGCTAACCAAAGACAACTATGATAATTGGTGTATTAGATTAAAGACATTTATTGGTTCACAAGAGTGTATAGAGATTGTGGAATATGACTATGATGAACCAGACTCCAAAGAAGCAAAAGATTTATTACAAAAGGCACAGAAACAACTCATGAGAGCTAATAAAAATAAAGACAACAAAGCAAAGACCATCATTTATCAAGGTCTTGATGAAGCCACATTTGAGATCATTACTTTTGTAGAAACTTCAAAAGAAATACGGGAGGCTTTCCAACAAAAATACAAAGATGCTGACAAAATCAATAAGATTTGTCTTCAATCTTTGCGAGGTGAATTTCAATCAGTGCAAATGAAGTCATTAGAATCTATTTCTGATTATCACACAAGAATTATGGTGATAGTCAATCAAAAAAGAAGAAATGAAAAAGTCCTCGCAGATGCTTGAGTTACTAAGAAAATTTTTAGATTCCTAGATCCAAAATTTGATTTTATTATTGTTGCTATTGAAGAATTCAAAGAAATGGACAAGTTGATGATGGATAAACTTATAAGTTCTCTGCAAGTTCATATGTAAAAGATTGTGAAAAGAAATGGAGATAAGGCAATTGAGCATGCCTTACAATCAAAGTTGTCTCTCAAAGAGGGCAGGGAGCTTTCAACAAGCGGATATACCACTCAAGGAAGGAATCAACAAAGATGAGGAGAATTTTAGTAATTTTAAGGAAGAAGATCTTGGAATAGAGGATTTAGAGGAAGAAGAAATAGAAACACCACTAGAGGAGACCGTTGACAACAAGTATTTACTCCTAGAGGAAGAGGAGGCGGTTACAATAACCGTGATAAGAGAAATATCCAACATTATAGTTGCAATCAATTTAGGCATTATAACACTAGGTGTCGAAGGAAAGCTCTAATAGAAATACGTGAACAAGCCAACTATGCAGACAAGGATGCCATCATCAAAGGACCAGCTGCATTATTAATCCAATAAAGACTAGGTGAGAATTAGGAGAATATATAGTATTTAGGTTCTAGAGCTAGCAATCACATGAGTGGTCAATGAGATCTATTTGAAGATCTAGATGAAATTGTAAAAGGCCAAGTCACTTTTGAAGACACCTCCAAAGTCCTAGTGAAAGAAAGAGGTAACATCTCAATCCGTTTGAAGAATGACGATCATAACTACATTGCAGATGTTTATTATATTCCAGCTATTAAGCATAACTTGCTGAGTATAGGCCAACTTCTGGAGAAAGGTTACACTCTTTTTATGAAGAACTGTAATCTAATAATTTAAGATTACAGTGGAAGATTAATTGTCTATGTGAAGATATTCAAGAATAGGATATTTTCTATAAACATTCAATATGTTGTCACAAAGTATTTAAGTGCCATCACCAACAATGAAAAGTGGCTCTGGCATTTAAGGCATAGACATCTGAATTTCACAAGCAAGAAGATAGTCAATGATATGATTTACATTGATCATCCAGATGAAGTCTATGAGAGTTTTATCCTCAGCAAATATCATAGATCCAGTTTTGCCAAAGAAGTCAATTGGAAAGCAAATATGCCACTGGAGTTAATGTACACAGATGTGTGTGGTCCCATAAAGCCTATGTCGATTGGACAAAATAGGTACTTCCTTACTTTCATTGATGATTTTAGCAGAAAGACATGGGTATACTTTCTAAAGAGGAAGTCAGAAGTATTCAATTGTTTTAAAGATTTTAAAGCAATTATTGAGAAGCAAAGTGACTATAAGATCAAAACCGTGAGATCTGATCAAAGTGGAGAATATATAACAAATAACTTTAGTGTATCTACTGAATCATTGCCCAACCAGAAGTTTGCAAATTGTCACTTTGGAAGAAGCATGTAGTGGTCACAAATCAAGTATTACTCATCTTCGAGTCTTTAGTTATATGGCATATGCAAAGATTCTAGATGCAAGTGATTAGTACTTAAAAGTGCATTTTTATCATGGTTTTATATCATTATTTTGCACTTGAAGTATCAATAACTCCTTAACTAAAGCATGTTTTATAATAATATATCTAATAATATAAGATACCTTTAATTTGTGGTAAATGTTCATTTTAAATGCAGACCTATCACATAAATGAAAGGATTGATTGATGACTTTAAGAACTTAAATTGCAAGGGCAAAGAGATGACCAAAATTAAAAAAGAGATGTCGATGCAATCCAAACCGGAACACTATTCGATAATTGGGTCATATCTAGAGCTATAGATCTCAGATTTAGGTCTACTTTATATGGATGGAAAGGTAATACATAGGCCTACAACTTTCATATAGAGCCTAAGATCTAAAAAGGTCATTTTTAAGTCCAAATTGTAGCAATAACAAAAACCCTGAATCTGTCCTCCAGTCCGAGCACTATTCTGTATTTTGGACATATTTGGAGTTCTAAAAGTCCAAAGGAGTTGAATTGTTTACACAAGAAAGCTGAGACAATTGCCTACAACTTTCACGTTTTCGAGTAACTTTAATTTTGATGTTATCAATGATATTTTGGGCAGACAAGAAAAGATAAGGATTGTCACCAAGTCAAGAGTTGGCCACCCACTCATCAATTAGTCATCAAATCAATAGTTCCTATTTTTGGCCTATAAAAGGAGGCATTTGTCATGCATTTAGGCATCTTGGTATCCAGATCAAGATCATGCTCTTACTTTCTCTCTTTGTATTTTTTGTAATGTTTATGCTTTGTTTTCATTAATATCAAGTTTATGCGTTTCATTAATATTAATGCGTTTTCATTAATATCAACTTTTATCTTATTTATGTTCTTATTTTGTTTATTTATTTTTATTTCTTTCATTATGTCTAGCTAAGTTTATTATGTCAAGGTGAAAAGTTTACACTAATGGTGTAAGAATAAATATAGTGTAAACTTAATATGGACTTTAATGTTTGATACTAACATGTTTTATATTTGTTATCTTGTTCACTCTTTAATACTTAGCTTGTTAAATGACTAATCTTGATTTATGTTATATAACACTTGGTACAACAAATGCTTAACACTTTCATAACCCATACTGTATGGTATAACCGACACCTGAGCTATGAAAGGAACTTGATTTGTTGTTAACATAAGTTATAATCATGAATGCTTGATGAAATTTACAAGTATTAACATTAATCAAATAAGATGACTAATGTAATCATGTTAACAATTTATAATCTGATTGGAACCTTCTTTGTGTGTGGTTTTCAATTGAACAATAAGAGTTTATACTATACTTGTTTGACATATCATTAGTGGAACCTCTAACCTTGACATTTGTTATTATCATTATTTAATCGTTACATTAATATTTCATCTCAAAGTTCTCATCTTCTTCTACTTCTTTTTCTTTATTATTACTATTATTATTAGTATTACTACTATTGTTGTTGTTGTTGTTGTTGTTGTTGTTGTTGTACAATTAACCTCCCTATGTGATGTGCATCATGGGAATGATAATTCATCTTGTAAAGGTAAATTGAATATGCAAGAGGATTCAGATGGTCCAATGACAAGAGCGAGAGCGAAACAACTACAAAGGACCTTGACGAGTCAAATTGGAATGATTGAAGCTGCGTCAGAGTTAAAAATTAGCAATCAGTTTCAAATTGGTTCAAGGGTGCTTATTTGCCTACAATTGGAGCTTAAAGATGGGAAGAGCCCTTAATGGTTCTTTTGATGCTGGGCTACTTGAATTTGGGTTGATAATGCAAATAAATTAAGGAATTGATGTTGTTTACATCAGAACAGTAGATAAATTTGAACCCGAATTTGAAGTCATCCATTGCATGTGAAAACAAGACTAATCTAGGTGGATTTCAAGTTCAGAACGTGATCTTTCCAGATTGTCCAACTATGATTGCATTGGACTTTTGTGCAAAAAGTTATAGCCATTTTAAATTTGGTCTGTTTATGTTTCAATTAAAGTTAGAAAATGTGTGCTAGTTTAATTTGTCTGATTACTTTGTCAAAGTCCAATTTTTGGGCTTGATTTCTGTCATGTTGAAGTTTCCTAAATGTGGAGAGATGTTCCATTATAAATATGGCATCAGAATATGTAATAAACAACTTTTGGCCAAGATTTGAACTAAACAACTTTTGGCCAATATTTGAACTTAATTCCGAGAATTAAGAGTTATTCTTACAAATTGATTTGTGAAGAACCCTACCTAACTTATCACTCTTCAATCACAGAGAGTGTGGCGTCAAAATCCTAGATTGATCTTTGTGGCGTCCAGATCGATTTATCAAAGTATCACTCTAGTCTATCCTCCATTTTATTTACCTTAAAAATACTATAATCCAGCCTAAACACCAAAAGAAAGACAACACAACCAGACCCATCCTTCATCCATTTTCATAATAATAATCCTCCTAGTGGTCTCAAACTTAAGATTCCACCGTTTCGAGGAAGTAGTTCACCCGAGGA